AAGTTGGAATAATAATGTAGGGCGCTCAAGCGAACCATGGAGCATGTCCAGAAGTAAATGCATGAAGCCTCAGCCGGTAAAGGAATGACAACCCGACCTATAGGTCAATAGCTTCCAGGACTCAAGGGCGTGGCGGACACAAGGAGTTAAGCAATGGAGCGACAGCAGGAGCAACCTCTGGCACATTCAACGGGTGGGTCTAACATGTCCCTCGTGAAGGAAGTGATGCAATCCCCTACTACACTCTCATACCACCTCCTCCCCCTCTCAATCACCCCGTCAATATCCTCTCCCCTCGTCACCTCGCCCCTTATCAACTCCCTGACCAACCCACTCCCCACAACGCAAGCAACCACACACCTAGGATCAACATGCGTGGACCTCGAAATCTCCGCCCCCAACTCAAAACACTTGGTTTCCTCCTCCCAAACCGTCACCAACCCCAACACATGCGTCCTCATCAAACTCCCATTCGGCGCAGCAAATCTGTTGGTCCCCCTCCAGTACCCCCTCGCGATTCCTTCCGGCTCTTCCGCAAACCCCTTACTCGCCAACACAGTCCCAAGCAACCTCCCCAATCCGAGCGGCATCGTCCCCAACGGCTTGAACCCCTGAGAAGCCCATATTCTCAAGCGGGAGGCGAAATCACTCTGCGTAGGGAAGACGTGGCTTGATGGTGTGGACTGATGTAAAAAAGAGAAGAGGAGGAGGAGGGAGTGGTCGGTGTCGTCTGTCCAGTGGCCTGGGGTGAAAGGGGCGCGGTGGCGGTCGAGGTGGAAGGGGGTGGGGCCGGGGTGGAGGGTGAAGGTGCGGGAGGGGTAAGATGTTGCTGCTTGGGTCGAGGAGAGGAACTCGGTGTAGAGGCCTATTGTATCGCCTAGGGCTGAGCCGATGAGGGAGCCGGTGATGCGGTCTTGGAGGGCGAAGTTGAGGAGGGTGGTGATGGCTTCTTGGGGGAGGGAGGGGATGGGTGACATTTTTGGGGTGCGGATCAAGGTTCCAGGTAGTTGTTGGGTGTGATGGTTCGGTTATTAATGAGAGAGAGTGTGTGTGGTTGAAGTGAAAATGCAAGTCGGGTTTTGAGGGCTGTCAGCCTTCGGGGCTGAGTTCTAGCGCTAGCGCTCTAGGCCATAGGAGGTTAGCGGTGGCAGTTGTGTAACAGCCCGCCATGCTACCGAAGTCGTATCTCCTTAGTCTTCAATATCCCAGGATTTTCAGGGTCACGGATCCTTTCAAGGAGCTGGCCGCTCATCCACGAGTGAACATATGCCTCTCCCACGAGGCCCCATGGTGGATGGATTCCCATCCCCATCAAGACCCGCAGGTCTGATCACATGCAGCACTCCTGATCCAAGAAACATGGCGACTGTATCGCCTGGCTCTGCATTGCCTGGACACAAGCCGAATTCCATGCAATCTTCTCCCTCTGTATACCACTGTGTCCGGCAAGTGAAAAATCTTCGGCCGTGGGAAACCGCAGCAATCCTTTCATTGACGTTCTTGTTTAGAGGGTAATTCCAGCGCTGGCAGATATTTGGGAGAGAAGCTTCAGGTTCAACTTGATCGGTCCCGACAGGTCGGTCAACAAGGTAGTTAAAACCTTGGCTGGATACAGACACCATAATCGTTTCAAAGAAGTGACTGTGCAGGAATTCTTTCTCCTGGATCTGCTCCCCAAAAAAAATGTGCGAACAGAGCTGCTGCTTGTTCCCCGGCAATCTGCCCAGCTATCTGGAGTTCGATCAGTGTCTGTGTGAACTCCTCAAGGGCATCTACCCCTATCATTTCTGCCCACTTTCTCCGTGACGCTAATCGATGTGCAGCCGGGTTGACCCGATCAGGCGCGTTGGCATCGAGCATCTCCCCAGTGCCTGTAATAATACCACATATCAAACCTTGGATAGCGAGCTGTTTGGTATCCTTGATCATCCTGGTAACTGCATGGGTTTCACCACCTGCTCTGAAGACAACGTGTGGCTCCTCTTCAAAGTAGTCCAATGGCTCCCTTGGGTTCTGGCCAATAGTCGGAGGTGGAGATCCGCGATGATCCCAGAGCGGCATCCATGACGGGAAGCCCTCGGGCTTTTCGATGCCGCAGCAATCATCGAGGAATCGGAGACTCTTGTTGCAAGTCAGTTCAACGTCAAGAAGGTCCCATATGACATCAAAAACAGTGAAAGTTGTACCGTAATGAGCCGCGGACAGGGGATCAAGCACGTGTTCGATTTGGGCCAAGCCTAGTAATGCGTAGACCTTGTCGCGAGGATCGGAGGCGCCAAAGCCGCGGAAGCAGCTGAACAATTCGTACATGGTCCGGCGGTCGCTGGATGATCTTAGTATCTGTTGTGAATGAGTAGGTGTGTATGCTTGTTCCGGAGGGAGGTATTTTGGCATCCTGTTTTTAATCACAGCATCTGGGCGTCTTGCATCTGTCGTCATAATCCGAAAGGGAGAGCGTCGTCAGTTGCGAGGCACTGTCCACATTTTTCAGGCCCAAACATTGGATTGCTCTCGGGGCTTTTGCCGGGTTATTCCGCCCCACGTCTCGAATTCTCGCCCAGGGTAATTCTTCTTCACGGCCTTCTCGAGCGATTGCAAGCGTTGACCCATGAGCAACTTTGGACGGTGGTTTAGCAAGCGTTATGATGTAAACAGGCCCACGACATGAATCTTCTTGGCGGCAGCGATCAGGCGTTGCCAATGATAAATCCGAAGACCAAGACCCTGTAAGTCATGAGAGTCCAGGGTGTCTAGTTTAGCAAGATTTCTCAGCGCGTGGGTAGCATGGCGCAGAATAAAGACGGCGCAATAGCAGATGTCCATCCATTCTATTCCGTGACAGCCGCACCATACCCCCACTGACCGCCCCATCACGACTTCCTGGACAGTCCAAATACGAGAAAACCAAGGCCGCTCAAAGATCGAGAGAAGGTCAAACCAGGGGCTGGTGAAAACACCAGAAGGGGCCGTGGAGAGTAGCCACAGAAAGGTTTCCGGCTCAAGCTTGGCCGTGGCTTTCACCAAGCCCCGAGGCCAATCACCTGTGCATACGGTCCGGACCCTCAATTGTTGCAAAAAGGCCACTCCTCGCTCATCTCGGGGACTATTGTCCTCCCCGATCCATGCTATGACATCTGTGGCTGACCGATAGATGTGTCTCATGATGTCGACCTGGGACTCCCTCTCTTGGATATCATCTTGGTTGATGCAAATCGCATCGATCCATAACCTCTTGGGCCTGCCAGGGAGCCAGATGTAAAGCAGGGCGGTAAACAAGTTTTGGCGGACGTCAAACGATGTTCATTGAGCCGAATGACGTGGTGTGGATTTGCAGCTTCAGAGGGTCAATTCGATCGGGTGATGGTTCGAGATCTAGCAGTCGAATTTTCCGTCATTCAACGCTTAATGCGCTGTAAACAAATGCCATTTTATATATTCTTAAGGTATATCCCCCTGTTTATTTACTGCTTCTCACGCTGTTTAATCACCTACCCATACTTTCGAAATGCTGTCGGCCTCTTCCCAGAAACCTCCTTCACCGAACCCTCTTCGTCACCAACACTTTGGTTACTGCTCAACCTCAGTTCCACCTTGCGCTCCTGACCCTCATCCTCAGTAACCCTTGCCATCAGCCTCCACACCTCCCATTTGTGCACCCCCACGCTGGTATTCTTGAGAAGCTCCGTCCCCCGACTGTTCATCGCCAACGTCATCAACTCGCCTAGCTGCTCCCACGCGCTGCTCCCAAACTTGCGATACACACACACCGTCCCCACAAAATGAACCACCACCAACAAGACGTGCAACAATAAAACCCCAAAAGCGAGCTTGACAGACAACCCCTCAAAGTTATACTCATACACAAGCCTGTCTTGATCCGCCCCCACCAACGCATAATCCAATGTCGCCCCATCATTCCGGTCCTCCTCACCGTTATCCAGCCGCATCCTCGACCACGTCAACTCAGCAAGAGCATCAACAAGATACACCGCCAACGACCTTGAAAGCACTTGATACAGTTGATCGCCCCCGCCCTCGACCGCATAGTCGTAGATACGGTCATAGGCAAAACGTGACCCGTTTGGTGTCTTGTAGTTGAACGGATCAGATGACATATCCAGCGAGTTATTCAGGCTGTTCAGCCAGGGGACCGTCAAAGTGATGATGTCACCCAGATCTTTTGACGCGTTCAAGGTGGCGTTTGTCATGGTGTGGGAGAATAACGGGAGGTCGCTGTTGGAATAGGACCAGACGGAGGAGCCCACCCAGCGGGCGTCGATGAAGCAGAGGGCGAGAGAGGTGCCGGTGGTGTTGTATCTTGTCCAAAAGGTGGCTGATGCCTGGACGGGGGCGTGACGGCCGAGGTCAATGAAGCCAAAGTGGCTTTTGGAGTTGTAAGCCTCGTCGAGGAGCTCGTGAGGGATGAAAAAGGTTGGGTCGGAGCGGTAATAGAGTCCTGGGTCAAGGAGGAAGTTGAATGGTGCGTCTGCCATTGTTTCGCTCTTTAGGGGATCCTTTCTTGGGCGGCTGGGGTCGGTGCACTGGATGGCGATCCGGGGTTGTTCGAGTGGTATCGAGTCTCCGGTGCTGCTGGTCAGTTTGGCGGTTCTGCGTGTCTGCACAAAGTCTGATCGGTCCATGGAATATCCCTTCGCAACCTGCGAGGCGGCCAGTTTCATGGGAGTGGTTGCACCAACCACTGTCTGCAGTGACATGGAGCTCTTCCACCATGCAATCGATTTGCCTCCTGATGTCAGGTTTGTGGGCAGACCATGAGTACCACGGGCGATGTTCGACAGCCAGGACCAGTCGATGCTGTTGGGGTTATCATATCCCGCGTGCGCACAATCCGAGGAGGTCGTATCATTAGCTGCAGGGCAGTATTCTGGGACGCTTTTCCTGTCCATCGTCTTGGGGTAGATGCTTGACAGGGGCCCTATCGCGTATGGGTCGACGGAGCGATCCGGAGACATGTTCCACCAGCCAAGTTTGGGGAGCATCACGATACCAGAGCTCGCACCAGCCAGAGTGGCTATGGAGAAGCTGGCTACCATGATAAGCGCCATCCAGACTGACGATAAAGTGAGGTTGTGAAATTGCGTCAAAGGTGCCAAGAATGAAGAGCTGAAGAGATAAAACGGCGAGCTGAGCTGAAAGGGTGCGGTCAGGAACCCAAAGGGGATGCCCTCTGAGCAGACAAGTTTCCGCCGAATATTTGAATACAGAATCTGGAAGAGTGAGGCCACGATGAGAGTCTCGTGGATCTTTGCTCCCACCAGCAGCGCAGACGAGATGTTCGAGTTTATGTCCGGCCACTCCATCCGATATCCATGCAAGACGAAGAGGGCTATTGTAATGGCCATTGCTGGGAACTGGAAGACCATGAACTGGCCCACTGATCGTTCGGTATCAGTGTGGAAGATTCGTTTCCGGGGTTCCTCATTCTTTTCCTTGTCTTCGGCGTCTAGCAGGTCGTCTTCGAGTATTTGGATCCATTCCGGCTGCTTGCTATCTCGCTTTCTGCCCAATCTGGATGGAAGCTTGGGTGGTGGTCTAGGTCTAGGTGGCAGTTTGGGTGCTGGTCTTGGTGGAAGTTCTGGTGCTGGTCTTGGTGGCAGCCTGGGTGGTGGTGAGGGGGAAATGTCTAGATCATCCTCGCCATCGAGGTGTTGATATCGCGAAACCTTTTGGCTTGACATACTGCCTCTTCAAAAGGTCTCGTTTGAACGAGGAGCTTAAAGCTGGACCTCTCGACAACAACAACAAGAAGACAATCGTGTTTTCATACTCTTGACGATACATTTGCGCTTGAACACCTTGGCGGCTAAAGCTGTGCTGTGCCACCATCGTGGGTTTGATCGCCGCACAAGCCTCCGATTTAACCAATCACAGCCAGAGCTTTGCGGGCCGACATCGACGGCGTAAACCTATCTTGGTAGCTGAGCCTAGCCAGCACGCCAGGCACCGGGAATACGCTGCAATCCTTCGGACACTGCCACCGGTCTAGCTTACGAATTGCACTGATGTGCAAACCTTGCTCTTGTCTTTTGTTGAGAGCTAGTTTCACTGGGAGACTGGATAACGGATATGATATTACAGGTAGGTGAGACTAGGTTAATGAGGAAGCTGTTGTTCACGCCATAATTCATATGGCTGATGTTTATTTGATGTTGGATGCGTTAACAGAACTACTTCTTCAATTCTGGTGTTGGCCATCCACCGTAACTCCATGTCCGTTTAATAAAGGGATAAACATCACCTACCTCTTGCACTGATCAAGTATCACCAGAGAGCAAGCAGAATCTGGCTGGATGCCTGGGCTTCAACCCCGCAATCGTCACGCTCATCTATGACAACGTGCAAAAATGGCGTGACTAGCAACCGAAGGTGTAGTGGTGTTCTCTGTTATAGGACAGGTGTCTGTCGCACAGAGCTGTACTCGGATTCTTTCCCAATGCAGCCATTTACGTGCGGTGGCTCTTGCCATGATTTGTGTCTCAACGCCAAGCTGATCAATAGTGGCGGAGGCTGAGGACAGCATCAAGTTCGGTCTGGGTACCAAATGATCAAGCTCATTCGGACATTGTGTCATCAGACTCTTTATCTCATGGTTGTGAATACGAATCATACGAGGAGGATATGTACGTCTTCGGTGATGAGATGGTCTATAAGAACCCCGGGAGACTCCAGCATGCTGTCCTAGCTTTTGCCACCAGTTCACGACCCTCTCGCAAACCCTCAACACAAGCAACACAGACTGTGAATTGAAGCCTTGAACGAAGGTTTATCCCAATCTATTGGAAGCACTCAAGATGGCTTCCCAACAGCCCATTGTTGAAGCACCCCCCGCTGGGCCTCCCAAAATCGCCCTGAAGCTGACCCCTGCTGGCCACAAGAAGCAACAGGAAGATCCCACCTTCATTGCTGAACTGATCAACAGGGCCGAGAATGGTCGGAGTGGCTTTGTTCCCAATGTCAATCCCCTTATCCCTGAAGAAAATCGCCCTGCTCATCTCTTCAGTCGTATTGCCGCTGCCGCCGCATCTGATCCCACTGCCGACCTTCCCAACTTTGACGTCTGGTATGAGGTTGCTTTGGAGGGTCAGTCACGTCTTTCCAGACTCGAAACAGAGACTGCGACGACCGCTCAAACACCTGCCGATGGCGGAGATTACTCTCTTCCCAAGGATACTCTTGAGCTCATCCACAAGCTTCATCGCCTCGAAGAGGTCGAGAGCGTCCACGCACTTCAAGCCGGTCCTCCACCTGCCGTCAATCCTAGCGATGACCCCCGAAGTGTAAATCAGGGGTACCTCGATGCGGCACCGGCTGGCATCAACGCCCGATATGCCTGGGGCTTTCCTGGTGGGGATGGCTTGGGGGTCAACATTGTCGACATGGAACAGGGATGGAAGCTTGACCACGAGGATCTTCAGGCGGCTGGTATCACATTGATCTCGGGGTACAATGTCGCCTATTACTCCCATGGAACTGCCGTGTTGGGTGAGATGCTTCAGGTGGACAACGCCATAGGAGGAGTTGGCATTGTCCCCAAGGCGAAGGGACGGGTTATTTCCCAGCATCGGTCGACAGGCTACAACACCGCGGCCGCCATACTGGATGCCGTGAGCAACATGGCCTTTGGAGATATTCTTCTCCTTGAAGCTCAGGAAAATGACCCTGTGGGAGGGCAGTATTATTGGCCTGTCTCCGTTGCCGACGCCAACTTTGATGCCATCCGTCTGGCTTCTGCTCTGGGCATCACTGTCATTGAAGCAGCCTGCAACGGTGGGTATGACCTTGATGCCTATGTCAACCTCTCGGGCAAGTACATCTTCAACCGCTCCAGCCCAGACTACAAAGAGTCCGGTGCCACCATGGTGGGCGCCTCCAGCTCTGCCGCACCACACTACCGCCTGTGGTACTCCAACCACGGCTCCCGGGTCGACGTCTATGCCTGGGGTGAAAACATTGACACCACCTTCACCGACGACAACTCTGGAGCCGACAACTCCTACACCGACTACTTCAGCGGCACTTCCGGTGCCTCTCCCATCATCGTCGGCGCAGCAGCAGCAGTCCAAGGCATAGCCAACGCCACCCTGGGATACAAATTCTCCCCCTTGCAGCTCCGCCAAATCCTCACCACAAACGGAACACCAAGCAGCACCCCCTCCACCGACCGCATCGGCGTCATGCCCAACCTCCGCGCCATCATCGACGGCCGCTTCATCAACCTCGCCCCCGACCTCTACATAAGAGACTACCCCGCCGACAACGGCCGGGTCCCCTCCTCAGGCACAGTCTCCAACTCCCCCGACATCATCATCCGTCAAACCCCCGTTCCCAACCCCCAAGCCCTTTTTGGGTCCGGCTCAGGCAACGAAAACAACACCTCCCTTTCCCAACCCATCCTCGCGGGGCGTGACCACAGCATCTACATCCGGTTGCTCAACCGCGGCGGATCAGCAGCGCAGAATGCAAAGGTGACTGTATACCACGCCCCGGCAGCAACCCTCATCAACCCCAACCTGTGGACTCTAATCGGGACAGTCACCCTCCCTTCTGCTGTCCCCACTGGTCGAGTGTTGACTGTGTCCCCGAGACTTGCCTGGCCAGCGAGTAAAGTCCCCAACGTCGGACCGGGCGGGTACTCCTTTGTGGCAGTCGCAACAACAGACAAGGACCCTGCGCCTGTCCTACCTGGTACTTTCCCCGCGTTCGTGGAGTTTGTGAGCAGGAATAATAATGTGGCTTGGAAGAGTTTCAATGTGGTTAACCCCCCGCCTGGTGGTGCTGGGGTTAGTAGATTACCTGTTGGAATCGCAGGGGCGTTTGATGCACCGAGACGCTTCGCCGTAAGGGGAGTGGGATCGTTGCCGGTGGGGAGCGAAGTTAAGCTGGAGGTTCCGGGGGATTTGGCGAGGCGGTTGGGGGTTGTTACGCCTTTGGAAGTTGAGGAGAAGGGGGTGGTGGTGCTGCCGCTTCATCCTTTTGGACGGGGGGAGATTGGGGAGGGGATTTTGCCTGTTGGGAGTGTTAGTCGGTGTGAGCTTGTTGTGAAGGTGCCGGGGGAGGGGGTGAAGGGGGAGGGGCAGTGGGAGTATGAGATTGTGCAGGAGTGGGAGGGGGTGGAGGTTGGGAGGGTTACTTGGCGGTTTGAGGGCGGTGATAAGGAGGATGTGCAGTGAGAGCTGGAGACTTTGGCCGAGACGTCGTGGGTAAGGGTTGGGGAACATGCAATGAAAGTCCTTATAGTTTGACGATGGGAATGAATATGGACATTTTAGGCATGGTTAATAGTTAGGTACCTTATACTGCCACGTGCAAAATGCAGGTTGGTGGCAAAGCGCTCAATGCGACCATCAAGAAGCTGTGTTACTGTGACAAGGGCTGGGATATCAGGGCTTGGAACTCATGGTTCAATTCAGGCTAATAATCTTCAATGGCCTCGAAGTCTGTGATACTGAAAGTGAAGAAGGAAATACAGTCTTGATGATCCTGAACGCGTATTTTATCTTCCCTCGCGTGGCCCGTGCCTTTGTTGGCCTCAGGCCATCGCCAAGTCCTCCAATATCCTTCTGGGCCAGTGGGCTTCCTTTGATAATCGCCTTGCCTCTGATTGTCTGCCTCACTCTTGACGAGAGGCTCACAACGTGCAGCTTCCCCTCCTTAAGGTGAGATTGGGCGCTATAGTTGGTCATGGTGGTTGGTGGTTGGCATTTGCCGTGTGACAGTTACCTTCATGCTTGTCCGTGGGAATGGCTTCGAGTGTTCCCGAGTAACAAACACTGGCCTTCCGAGGTATAGTCCGGGGGGAGTAGTTGTTGGCCACTACATTCCAAAATGACTATGCCTATCCGATCAGTTCATTTGTTCCACGTTTCCAACACTCATCACTACAGACAACAGTCTAAACCTCTATCTTCGCCATGGCAAGAAGCCCGCGGTACTTCCACGATGCTCTTCGCTTCAGACCTCAACGATGGCTGCTGGCTGATCATCTACTCTACGATCCTGTCTATAAGTGGGATGAACGTGATGGTCTTAATGCATTCAATCTTGGTCACGAGTCTGCTTGGAGAGAGAATTGGCTTGGATGCAGGGGAGATTGTTTGTGGCAAAGACACCTTGGACATTTGATGTTTCAGGTTGTCAGGACAAATCCTTGCCGCATTGATTTGGAGAACAAGCTAAAGCACTTGGGATTCTTTATGAAGCCTGAGATGCGAGTGCGATTTGTACCTCCTACTCTGTAGAATGTTGCAAGGGTCAGGGTAGTCTGAACCTCAGAGGTTCAGGGGTTCAGGGTCATCATGTGAGAGTGCGCACCATTGCACCCCAAACGCTATAATTGTTGCAGATGCTAATTCGGACGCTCACCTAGGTGTCTACACTGAAGATGCGCAATTTGAAACCTTAAACAAAGAGACTGATTACTAGACAAAGGTAGCGCTTTGTCTTGAAATTAGATTTCTTTGTCACACAGCTACCTGGTCATTGTAACGTCATTTTTCAACGTAGATTCAGACTGTGGGATCTCACTGGCTATGATTGCATCAGGGTAGAGAAAGTCAAGATTATTAAGATGTTGTCCGTGACTCAAGTTCGGTACCTACAACAACATCCCCAACCTTCAACAGCAAGATCATTCGCACCATAATCTTTCCGAAACTGGCTTGAGGTTGAAGCTCACTATTCTTTTGATAGCTTTGTCCGCATTATTATGCTTTCCACATTGGTGAGAAGTCTATTCAGCCCCATCAGCGCCACATAAGCCCAAGCCGGAACCACAGCCTCCGAGCCAACTCCACAGACTCCACCCTCCTCCTCCTCACATGAGTCAGATCTCCACCACTTCTTCCAACAATCAGCCCAGGACCAGTAGCTCAGGGGTAGAGCAACCGGCTGCAGTCCGGTAGGTCACGCGTTCAAATCGCGTCTAGTCCTTTCCTTTTGCTTTTGTTTCTTTCTCACCCCTACTCCATGATGGGGATCTTTAGCAGGAGTTGAGACTGGCCATGTAAGTGTTAATTCAATCCAGGTGTGTTTTTTTTAGGTACAGTAACTCATACGGTTATATCAATGTTCTGTTAAGGTCAGTTACCATCGGACTTCTCCTAGAGCACTCTGTCTTGCTAAATATTTGCATTCGTAACGCTATACTGGCCAGTTTTGTGCTGCTGGTTCTCCTCGAGGAACATTCACATCACGTTACATCAAAGGGTAATTTTTAGGGTAATATACTTCTGTCATCCATTATGAATTACTATCCGTCTATCCATCCTTCTTCTCTATCTCCCTCCATGCCCTGATCCGGTCCGGCCGTGATCACAGGCCATAAATTACAATCACGATCATCACCAAGGAAAAGGCACCAACAACCGGCCACCCACCCCCTCCTCCAACCAAACCCCAAACCTCCAAAGCTCCCCCTGAAACCTCACCCACTCATTCGGAATAGCCGTCTCCGGCTTCTCCCCCCTCTCAAAAAACACCTCCCTCAACTCCCGCTCCGCCTCCCCCACCCCACAAATCCAAACCTGGTATATCCCCCACGCTTCCCTCGCCCTAGCTTCATCTTCGCTGCTGTAAACAAACTTGCTCCCCATCGCGGCAGCCCTAACAATAGTCAGCACAGCCCACTGCGCATACGGCCTGATGAGCGCCTCTAACCGGTTAAACAGGATGTGGACTTTTTCGCTGGCGTAACGGCGGTTTTCGAAGGGGGCGAGGGTGGACTCGGCGATGGAAGTGGTTTGCCGGACTTGGTCGAGGGAGTAGGAGAGGTAGTGGAGTGTGTAGTAGATGAAGACTATGTGTTGGGAGGGGGCCATCACGTCCGGGTTGGTGAGGGAGGTGTGGAGGGCGGAGGAGAGGGAAAAGTTGGATTGGGCTTGGTAGGTGAGGTAGTCGAGGAGGGTGAGGCGTTGGAGGGAGGTGAAGGGGCTGGGGGTGGGGGGCTGGCGGGAGGGGGTGGTGATGGGAGGATTGGGGAAGGGGGTGATTGTGACGGGGAGGTTTGGGATTGTTGGGGCTAAAGAAGGGGGACTGGTTATGACGGGGGCGGTGAAGGTGTGTTCGGCGACGGGAGGAGGAGGAGCTGGTTTGGAGCGGCTTGGGATGAAGGGGTCTGGTCTTCGGGTTGGGAAGGCACCCAAGGGTGAGCGAGACTCGGGTGCAGTGGTTGGGAAAGGGTTTGGGGGTGCTATCGGGGTCGCGATTACAAAGGGTGATGGGGTTGTGACGGGTGGCGGTATGATGTCTGCCAAGGGCGTGACTGGTTGGGGAGTTGTTACAGGTATGGGGGTGTTGACGGATGTCGCGGTTACGGTGGGCTCAGGAGCTATTACGGCTGTAGAGGTTACTACTGTTGTAGAGTTCATGATGGGTGTCGCTGTTACGGAAGACGATGAGGTTGTGACGGTTAGCGGTATATTATCCGGCGCGGAGGTGACGGGTTCAAGAGCAATCACCGGTGTAGGTGCTATGATGGGTGTCACGGTTACGACGGGCCCGGGTATGATGCTTTTCAAGGATGCGACGGGTTCAGGGGATAATACAGGTGATGGGGGTCTGACGGATGTTGGTGTTCTGCGAGGTGGTGGTACGATCCGTGGCATCAAAAGGCTTTTCAGGGACTCAACGAGGGTGGAAGCTTTGACGGGTTTCGAGGTTATGGCAGACTTTGAGACTTCGTCAGATGTCGGCGCTAGAACCTCAGGACCAACAGAGAATCCCGATTCTACATTTACTCGTGCCTTTTCCCCCTCCAGTGCCTCCCGATTCGTTTCTTCCCAATCTTGAAAAGCATATAGCGGTTGGTCAGGGCACAGCTTATAGAGCTCTCTTGGGTAGTGTAGTCGACTCTGGGTAGGTGTTGATAGGAGCCAGTTCTTGAGAACTGGTCGAAACACGGCAGGCCTGGCTTTGATAGCCTTATGGACCCCCGGGAATTGGCTTATGAACTCGAGGATATGCTCCTGGTTTCTGGCGCACACTTCGCTGGAAACTGGAACCCCATTCCGTGGGCGTCGCTCGCCACGACCCCCGACCAAAATAGAATAGACTTTCTTTTCACCCTTCCTTCCTGTGACCTCCGCAATGAGATCCTCAAGAAATCCGTCGATAAAGGGCTTTGAGGTTGCTGGAACAGGAGGGTCAGGGGGCTGGGCTGGAGCATCAGCATCGACAGGCCTGGTGTTGCAATCCGTAACTATCGTACTCGGCCTCTTGAGGTAGCTCAGTTGCGCGTCAGCCATCAGCCTGTCCCTCCTGCGGTTATTCAGAAGGATTTCGTTGAGGCTGCAATCTCTGCATCCATATCGCCTGCCGAGGTCTTCTGACACATAGACAGAAGGGATGGTTGTCCATTGCCTTTTAGCATCTGCTTTCGCCCTCTCATTAACGCGTTCGTGTTGCTTGTACTTGCTACAGCCAGGGCATGGGCAAGTGTAACGTTTTTTGATCTCGGCGAGAAAGTTGTTGATCATTTTTTGTAGTTTATCCTCTTCCGCCTTTTCCCAAACACCCTGTGCTTTCATCCACACACATCGTTGACAGATCGCACTGGGCTTGTTAGAACCCTCGGGCGTCGCGCCTTTGCCTGAGTTCAACCGCTCAACGTCGAATCTCCTGTCCCAGTTATGATCAGGGGGCGGTGATAGGGGGCTAACCTCTTTACTCTGAGCTTCCTCGTCGTCTTCTAGAGGCATCTTGAACGGTTTCCGTTCCGAGTTTTAATCGTTTGGCTGTCGGTTGGGGAGTTGTGAAAAGGAGCCAGTCAATAGCCCTGTATTATCTGTTTAGTTGTTTTGTTGTCAGTAGGTGGTGTGTGGGGAGAGACTCGTCTTACCTGAGCCGGTTTCCCAAAAATGATGAAGATAGAAAATCGATTTGACGGGAAACAAGAGTCTCAGGCCGGCACGTGGAGGATGGCCCTGTCACTTATAGCGGCCGTTAGTGAAGTGGCGTGAATACAATGCCATGGTTCCTCTTTATCCACACGGTGGGTTGTTCGTGTTGAAATGTTTGAGCAATCTATTTTTGTGACATGCTTCTTTGTTGAGGACCCGGGCTGGCGGCCCTGATCCTAAAAGTAGTTCTTCGAGGCCCAACACCTGACTGGTCGAACAAAAGACAATGCGATTGTATTTCCCTTTCATGACTTGACCTCCTGACCTCTTTGACAAGTCGAACAGCCCAGTGACGTAGATCACAAATTCGAGTCCCTTCCTGCTGACCAAAAGTTGGCAACCTACAAGGCCATAATATCCCGATGCCTCTCCGCAAACTTTCCAACAGCTTCCACAAAACCTTCCAGCTCCTTTTCCTCTGTCTCCAAAATCAGTGCAACAAACCCCCTTCTCGTTGTCCAATACCCTGCCTCCAACATCTCGAACCAAAACAAGTCCCTCAAATCCCTCCTTTCCTTCCCTTGAATGTCTTCCCCACATGTAAACACCTCGACAGCTTCATCCACAAAGTGAACCCCAATCAACGACCCCCTTCCGCTAAACATGATCTTGGTCCCCTTTGTAACCTGCTTCAACCTCTCCCTGAGCCCATCCCCCCGCTCATTCAATTCCACACAAGCCTCCTCGGTGAAAACTCTCTTCAAAGCCTCATACCCAACGCTCGTGACTAGAGTGTTGTTGTTAAACGTCCCCGAGTGCGCCAGCGACCCTTCCACTCGGGGGTCATACACAGCCATGACCTCCTCTCTCCCACCAAACGCGCCAAAAGCCAGCCCACCCCCAAGATATTTGCCCATTGTAACCAAATCAGGCTTCAGTCCTAGCTCAAATCCCAAGCCGTGAGGCGCAAGGCGGGAAGTCATCACCTCATCGAGGATAAACAACGCTCCGACCTCGTGTGCGGCGTCCTGGATGGCATGGAGAAATTCCTTGCTGCCGGGGATACATCCACCCGCGCCTTGCATGGGTTCCACCAGCACAGCGGCGAGATCGGGTGTGGATCTGATGGTGTCTACTGCGAGGCCGATGTCATTATACCGGGCAACAACCACAAAGTCGTCCTTATCCACGGTGTTGGGTGCTGCTTTGCCGTTGGGGAAGCTAAATACCGCGCCGTGGTAGCCGCCAGAGAAGACAATGACTTTTCTTCGCGAGGTGTAGTGCCGCGCGCCAGCGAGAGCGTGCATATTAGCTTCTGTGCCCGTGTTGGCCATGCGGACGCGCTTCAGTTTGAAGCGTGAGCAAAGGAGGGAAGCGTGTTTGTGTTCCTGGACGGTGGTTGAGCCAAGTGAAAGACCGACGTTGTCAAAGGTGGAGAGCATAGTTTCGCGGATGATGGGGTTGGTGTGTCCGTAGAGACCTGCCGTCAGTTCACCGACGAGGTCGAGGTATCTGTCGCAGTGTTAGCAAAGCGACAAGAAAGAATTTAGGCTAGGGGGCTTACTTGTGGCCATCCTCATCCCAGACATGAGCGCCCTTACCCTGCTTCATTGTCAGGGGGAATGGGGATGTGTGCAGTAGGGTTCGTGTGTTTCCACCTGGGAGGGCACCGATGGCGAGCTCGTGCTGCTTCTTGGAAAGGGGGTTGTTGGCGATGAACCTCGCCTCAGCGGCTTCCAGCGCTGCCTTGGCCGATTCATGCGATACCGAACTCATGATGGCTTGGTATAATCTGACGGTCAAATGATGTTTGCTTTGATCAAAAGGTCACCACGGAGGACATTCCGCTTTGTTGGGAGATACCCCTCTTTGATCGGCTCATGATAGGGGCATTTCCGGCCCACTTGCCGATTGAACCCGGCCAAGACTGTTAGTGTTCGGCCCGAGATCGCATGTGAGGCCAGCCGAGAGACGACAAGACTGGTGTGACGGTGATGACTATGGTGTCTCCTAATTGACGGTGGTGATTCCCTGCAAGAACCGAGGCAGATATAGTCAAATGTCCCTTATTGCCATACCGAACTTGGTCCATTGCCAGGCTTGGAGGATCATTTCCAGCTAACCAGGACCGAAACGTGATGCCAAGTGTAGACAATCTGTAAGGGTTGACAAGGTCGCCTCGCGTGTAGCCCGAATCCAGACCTTCTATAGTATCATCCTCTTTACGATGTTGGAGTACAATCGCCCAGGGGCAAAGTGTGTCAGTGCCTTCGGCAGCCCGCGAATCTACTCTCCGAAGTCCACAAACGACATAACATGTCGCCTCCCAGGTTGAATCGCCTATGGGTGCCGACATCGTGATCTCGACTACACCAACAAATCTAGGGCTTGATGAGACTAAGAAGCACTCGCGCCTGATGTCCCAGAGGTGCTCTGGATAATAACTGTGGCTGACTGAGAAGCCATGTGAATACGCCTCGATGCACTCCCATTGGATTTTTATAGTCGGGTACAAGAGATCCGAATGAGAGAGATAGAGTGAGTTCGCTTCGATCACCTCAGCCGGCGTTAAAGAGGTGGCAATGCGGACCAGGGACGGTTTACCGAACCTCATCTGTGACTGAGGCGTCAGTGACAGCCAAGAGGGCTGATATCTGACGTAGGATGACTTGATCTTCCGCAGCCAGATTGTGAAAACGGGAGGATCTCCATCTTTGTCGTCGACAGGGCCACTTGTACAGTGCAGGTATAACCGGTGACCAGTTTCACCGTATGAGGAGTCGAGTGCTGTATGGAACTCAAGACCAGTGTTGGTGATAATCCACGACGGCGTTGGTATAACGGGATCAAGCCAGTGTTTGATATCAGAAGCCCCCGCGAACCAAGAGGGGTGTCTCGCCAATATACCGGAGTGTCTGAGTCCGAATTCAGTTTTGCTATGTTGCCAGGCAAATAAAGACATGTCGTTTGTCTTCTGAGCTATATGTTCCTGGAGACGGAGGAAGGCCTTTTCTCTTTCGCCGTATATCAGCGGCATGTGGATACCGAAGATGCCCAGGAGACAATATGCCATGTCTTCTATTCGTGTCGTGTTTCGTTTAGCTGCCCACGACATTTTCTGAGCGACGGGTACTTGGTTCAGCTTATCTGAAGATCGGAGAATAGTAATGTCGATGCTCGTGATGCGATGGAGGATGTTCAGAAGTTGCACCTTTGAACCACACTGGGTCCAGTTGCAATCGTGAAATATGATGTCCCTCGGCGCGACCAGCTCTTGCAAGGTCCAGCCCCGGGTAAACCATCGGCATGCTTGAAGGTCAGCTTTGGTGGGTGTGAGTTGGCCATCAGTGAGCGCAAAATCCTCGAGGTAAACAGCGCATAGTGCTGCTTTCTGGTACCAGTGGAACATGGAATTGATCGACTCGGTCAGCTCGGCGCTGCTGGTCTTGTCGATGCAGCATGTATCAACCCAAGCGTGGGAGTGTCCGTATTCAAGCGTGAGCTCGCACATTCCTTTTATTTTCTCAAAGCCCTTCTTGTGAACGGCAATGTCGAACGAGTTCTGCATGTCCTGAAAAGTGACTTCATCATCACCCCAGGTGTGTGAGAGGATGCAGTAGGGAATCGCATTTGGCCCGTCGATGTCGTTCTGCTCGAGTTGATAGTTTTGGCAATTAATGAGCCACATGGCCAGAATCAGCGTCGATCAAGGACAGCAAACAATCGATAGGTTTCGCGACAGTGTAGGGTAGAATTGTGACTTGGAGGCTCAACATGGCGGGATATTGCGCAGAGTGGGGTTGCTGGAGGCGGTTCATTGGCATCAGCACAGCCACCAAAGGCCAGCCAACCACAGCCAGCGAGGCCAAGTCCTTTTTGTTTCGGTTATTTTATGACTCCAGACACGTTATGAAATCCTAGTTCTCCTTTATAAATACAGCTCAAAGACAATAAGAAGGCAATACAGACCCACATTACAAAACCCCTTTGCCTCTCCAAAACTGAAAACAAGCACAATCACCCCCACCACCCCAACCAACCCCTCCCACTCTCCCCCTTTCCCCCCTCTCACCCCCTACTCTCTCCCATGGAGTGGATCGAATCTTGAGACCGAGTGTGAAGCACTACGCATGTTCTATGTCAAATGTGGTATCTTATCGAGCCAAGTTCTCCGATACAATGCTCCCTACATAAGTCAACCGAGGTGAATCCGTGAGAATTGGGGAAAAAATCAGGAGAACCCGTGGGGCCCCCGTT